GAGAGAGAGAGAGAGAGAGAGAGAGGGAGGGAGCGAGCGAGGGAGAGAGAGAGAGTGTGTGTTGTTTTTTCTTTTTTCCCTTTTTGCTCTTGCCCTGCTCCCTCTTTCATGGGCTGGCATACGAGACACTGGAGTGGAAGAGAGAAAGATCGAACTCCAGAGTGGAGAAGGAGAACATCTCCACAGAGAGACAGACAGCACAGGAGAGCCTGAAAAAGGGACAAATTTGGATTAGAGAAGGATATAACTAAACAGCAAAGAACACAGATTCATTATAGCAGTTCGGCATTTAATTAAAACATTCCTGTCAAAGCTGTGAAAACATTTTAGATAGTTATCTGTGCAAGTGTTTTTTTTTTAATGCATTAGATTTTAAACGATATTTTTCTTGCTCACGGGTGGAGGTAGGGTTAGGCAGAGGCAGGACAGCAGGTTTGTGGGACTGAGGACCAAGGCCGGGTGGCGAAGGTTGTAGCTGGCGGCAAGTATGCCCAGGGACGGTGGCCAGGCCGGGGTCAGAGCATGCCGGTGGTGCTGGGTGCTGCTGGCGTGGGCCGCCTTGGCTGCTGGGCTCACCGACGCCTGCCCTGCTCTCTGCACCTGCAGCGGCACCACAGTGGACTGCCACGGATTGGGCATCAGGACTGTGCCCAGGAACATTCCCAGGAACACAGAGAGGCTGTAAGTATCTGCTTGGTGGACTCAGGGAAGAGGGGGGAAACTGTTAAATGTCTATTAAAACAATGTTCAGCTTCCCACCTCCCCCCCAAAAAAAACCTGTATAGCAGTGGTGAAACGTGCTGCCACAGTGGGGCAGGTATAAATAGGTGCTGTGCGGAAATACAGGCGCAGATGTACACGCACATACATAATTAACGCGTCTGCTAAAAATGCACGCGGGCACATGGTGCCAGCCGCGAGACGCGCCGCCTGCCAGCGTGGTCCGTGCGCGCGAGGCGCCCGCCTGCTTTGTCTGCATCTGCGGGCTTCACCCCAAAAGTAGAGCCGTAAATGGGGTCGCGCGTAGCACCGGCTGCTGGTGACGGAAATGCCTGCGCTCCGAGGTATCGATAATGTACACGTCCTAATACTCACAAAATAAGACGTTTATTATGATCGTTACAGTAAACTTTTCCCCTGTGTGCCATGCATTTTGCAAGAAAATAAGTTGGAATTGAAATATTTATTTTCCCGTTATCTGTCATTATTATTATATACATGTGAATCGTTGAAGAATTTACTCCAGGTGCAAAAGGCACATGGCTCCTCCACCTTCGGAGTTTTATTGCCAGGGAAATAGTTTTGCCTGAAGTGCCAAAAAAAGGTACTGAAGAAGAGAGAATTAAAAAGCCTTTAGTCTTTATCAGTCCGGGATTCCGAATTCCCGAAAGTGCACAGTGCGGGGCGGCCGGGCGGCGGGCGGCGGCGGTGGAAGCGAGGCTGCCTGCGGACCTCAGTTTGCTCCTGAAGAAAAATCACAGCGGAGGGAGACGCGCACATTGCGGATAGTTTTGTTTCAAGTTCACAGCGCTGGTCTGAATTATACATAAGCTGCAGACGGGCTGAAGCGGGGTGTCAGACTCGCGTGTAGCGAAGGAAGATGTGCATATTTAATGCGCCCCCCGTCTCATTTCCAGCACCTTGTAGTAGCAGATGTTGCAGTGTCTGCTTATTTTTTTTTAATGGCGAGACGTATTCGCTGTGTATTCGTATGGTTGTTACCTCCTGCATTGTTTTTTTTTATTTAGAATATGCACCGAATAATA